AGTTATGCATTATGTTCTAACGGCTAAGCCGTTTCTCCTATTGTGTATAATGGAATTGTGCAAACTATGCCTAGCCTAAACCTTATTTGCTATTAGAAGACCATATATTTAACTTGTTACAATCCCTGAATGAGGTTTAGTTTTTATCGATAAGTAGTAACACTGTTTTACATTTACTATAAAAGGTCCACCAATACTTAAAGAAGAACTGAAGAAAGAAATAAGAGGAAAAATTGGAGAAATGGTATTATTAGAAATAAATATAGAAGCTTATCCTGAACCAAGTTTTATATGGAAACAGTTGATGTCTGATGTAGAATATCCCTTTGCTAAAACAGAGAAAGTTTCTGAAAATAATTTTATATCCACATTAGAATTGATATTAGATCAATCATCGTTTGGTTATTATATAATTACTGTACAAAATATTATTAATGGTGAAACTAAAGCAAAAACCTGGGGAATAAAAATTATTGAACTCGGTAATTTTATTTGTATAATTTGACAATGATTTCATGAATATTTAATGTTCTTCATCATAATCCAATTAGTGAATATCATATACTCATAAATATTTGATTTTAATGAGTGTATAAAAATGAAATTAAATGTATGTTAAAGGGGTACTATGCAAAATTGTCATTATCTAATGAATACAATTAAATGTATTGAGTAAATTCATAAGTTGAATGAATTCAATAAATTCACCAGTTGAATGTACAGAGTAAATTTATCACATGAATGAATGGAGTAAATTTATAAATTGAAGGCATTTAGTTAATTTATCAGTGAATGTATTGAGTATATTTATCAGTTGAATGTATTGAGTAAATTTATCAGTTGTATGTATTGAGTAAATTTATAAATTGAACGTATTTAGTTAATTTATCAGTGAATGTATTGAGTAAATTTATCAGTCGAATGTATTGAGTAAATTTATCAGTTGTATATATTGAGTAAATTTATAAATTAAACGTATTTAGTTAATTTATCAGTGAATGTATTGAGTAAATTTATAAATTGAACGTATTTAGTTAATTTATCAGTGAATGTATTGAGTAAATGTATCAGTTGAATGTATTGAGTAAATTTATCAGTTGTATGTATTGAGTAAATTTATCAGTTGTATGTATTGAGTAAATTTTTTAGTTGAATGTTTTTGGTAACTTAATATACCGGCAAGTCAAATTCATTTAATTTATTCCACAGACCCTGGAACAATATCTTATGAACAATCTGGATATCAGGAAGGTTTAGGAACTGGTATTGGAATTGGTATTGGAATATCTGCTGTAATTGTAATTCTGGTTTTACTGACAATATTTATATATAGAAAATATCATCCAGGTATTGGTTTAACTGTACTTTGGGGATCTTTAAAAAAAAGAACCATATGAAATTCAATACATAAATTCAATTTTAGTTACCCTTGTTTCTTTTCAGAATTACAATCTGACTTAATCTTTTCCTACATTCTGTCGGAATTGTGGCATTTGACAACCATTTATATTCTCGTGGGCAATTATTACAGGGCTTAATTAGTAACACTACAAGGTCAATGTCAATACTTCCGCGAAAAATTTATGTTTAAATTCCTAATGAACGTTTTATTTAATGGTATGTTGGTCGGGTGTCGTATTTGAATGTTGAAAAGTATTCCGTATAGTTGAAATTGAGTCTTGTCAGTTGGTTTAACAATTTCTTAAATTCTTATACTGCTTTAAATATAAATTAATCTAATTATTTATTTATTTTATTTTGTAGCCAATAAGAAATTACCAGAAGAAAGTTGAGTTATATTTCTTTCCTGATCTGGAACTTCTATTCCATTGACCTACTATATCAACCTTTTCAATCTGTATGGTTATTCTGATGATTATGTTCTTGTCGAAATTGAAGTCGTTATATAGCAACGATCATTAAATTCACACAAAGAATATCAGCCGCAGACTGGTTTGATTGAGAAATAATGTTGTTTTGAGAAGTTGTAGTTAAAACTGATAAAAACTTATTTGTTCGAATTACTTATGATATATTCTTACTTTTCAGTTATGCAACGTTTTCCAATAGAAATCCTGAAGGTAAATTATCACATATTATCACGAATTTATCACAATTTACACATTCAGTATGACTATCAATACTATACCCAAAACGGTCCATCGTTCAATTTCTGATAGTGTTCTTCAACTTTACGGCGGAAACTGCCGAGAATCGCCGAATTTCAAAGCCCAAAGGTTGTAATTTTTATATTAAGTTATTAGTTTCTAAGCACGCCTTTCTTACCTACAGATAGAACGTATGAAGATTTAAATACTCGTTCTGAAGTTAACGATAACAATCAACATAATTCTGGAGATGCAAAAGAATATGAAAATATGAGAAGAAATTAAATATAACATACTGTAACATCTGATATAGACCGTAATATCTGATTCTGTAGTAGTATTTTCCCATACCAACACATTAAATATAACAGACTGTAATATCTGATACAGAACTAGTAATATCCAATACTAACCCATTAAATATAACAGACTGTAATATCTGATACAGTACTAGTAATATCCAATTTTAACGCATTAAGTATAACAAACTGTAATATCTGATTCGGAACTAGTAATATCCAATACTGAAGTTTTAAGAAATGCAAGCCATCGCGAACAATTAAGGGCTCTTTAGTTTAATGAACGTCTCTCCAAATCCTGTATCATCTTGACTAACTGACAACCGATTTCAGCTCTGTATTCTCTCGTTTGACTACCGAGTTGCATGTGAATTAATATTATGGTAATTTCCAGTGTGTTCTGATCGGTATTTCCTATATGACAACTATCAGTCTAGGCCTATTGTAATTAGTTTGTTTAACCACCATCTATTGTAAATATCCACTTTTATTTATTTATATATATATGTATTATGAATCTTCAATTTGGAGGAAATAAAGATATATATAACATACTGTAATATCTGTTACAGTACTAGTAATATCCAATATCAGAAAATCCAAAATCAAACACATTTTCTCTCTGTTATTTTTTATGTATATGTTCTTACTGTAACATCTGTTCAGAAATCAACAATTCTTTGCACATTCCAAAATGCCGTCTGGAAGCAATGAAAAGAACGTTTAAATACAGTTCACTTTAGAATTCTGAATTATGCCGTTATGAAGATGTACTAAAGAAAGAAATGGGGACCCAGTTGGAATTAAATTTTTTGAAAAAATTATTTACTCGCTCTTATAATTATAATTTTTCACCTTTTCAGATGATATCATTCTAATGTTTGTATCTGTATCTATGTTATTTGTAACTAGATTTCAAGAAAGACTTTATATTATTATTATTATTATACTAGTAATATTCAGTACAAACACATTAAATATAACGATTAACAGACTGTAATATCTGATACAATACTAGTAATATCCCATACCAACACATTATATATAACAGACTGTAATATCACATAATGTACTAGTAATATTTAATTCTAACCCATTATATATAACAGTCTGTAGTATCTGATACAGTACTAGTAAAATCCAATACTAACCCATTATATATAACAGACTGTAATATCTGATACACTAGTAAAATCCAATACTAACCCTTTATTCTTTCTGATACTTAATATGTATTCGGTATTACTTACAATTGAACTTTGTGTAATTATATTTATATGCTCTAAATAAAAATATGAAATTTTTATATTCAAAACATTTCTGTTATTATTTATGTATATGCTCTTACTGTGGCAACTGTTAAATTAATATATTTCTATATAACTAGTTTATGCTTTGTTACTATTCATATGCAACTGATATATTTTCCAGTCCTGAATTTTAGTGTATTTATGATTTGTTTCTGTTATGTTATTTTCTGTCATTTTTTATGTTTACTCTTTTGTTTATATTGATAGTTTATATGATGTGTCGTTTAAAGATACTTGTACACATGCTGATTTGAGTTAAAGCATAAACACAAAGAGTCCACATTATTTTGAGGTAGTGTAAGTAGTTATGAAGATTGTAGGTCTGAAGTTTCTTTTTATTCTACCAAAAAATAGTGGACTGCTTGTTAAAGATCCAAATTGGACCCAGAGGTGCAAAATTATCTACATGATAATAAAGATTAGACCATATTCAATAGTTTCTTTATAATGGGAGACAACTTTATTTATTATTTGATATAAAAAGGAATATGAGACAGTTTCTAGTGAAGTCAGAATTCACTTTGAATTTCAGTTACAATATAACAATTGTGAGAGTGAGGTCTGCCAAACAAAATAAACAGAACAATTATGAAAAGTGGTGGCACAACAAATTCCATAGTGCAACACTACTTTGATGGGTTTTACTGAGTACAGGTTAAACGCACCTTTTGAGCCTTCTAAAGAACGAAATATTACCATCTAGTTGTTAATGATGGATTCTTTAACTTCTACCGCTTTATGGGCTGGTGGCACCGAAAGGTGATATTCTCGTTTTTTTGTGTTGTTCAAGCTTTGATGTAACATGGGTTACAAGCACCTCGGGGGCACCAGAGAAGTACACGAAAGACCCATGAGTCAGTTTTTAACGGAAATATTTTACTGATAACCTAACTTTTTGTCAAATTTGCTTAACATTTAAATGATTTTTGTACTTTTCTTGAATTACCGACTGCACTCTGGTAGTCTTTTATTAAGCTCTTGAGTTATTTTTTGGTAGGGATACCAGGAGATAGTGTATAATTTATTGGGGAACAAATTGTTATCGAGATTCCAGTGATTCTCACGAGAACCGTCTTTAACGCGATAACCATCTAAACATTCCTCAAATACAGTAACTAGGTCATGTTAAACAATAATATATAGCATGATATAAAGGTATTGAGGTACAGGGAGTCTAAAAAGTTGGTAGAGATTTTAGTGTTTCTCAAGAGAACCCTCTTTGACGTGATTACCATTTAAACATTGCTAAAATATAGTAGTATGTATCAAGGTCATGTTAAACAGTAATACATAGCATAATATAAAGGTAATTATATGTACAAAGAGGAAGTAAATTGTAGCCTTATAATAAAACGCTATTGACTAGTAGACCAAATAATATGACAAGAGAAGATCGTCATGTTGAATATTATTCAATAACATGGAGTTTAAAAGTATATTAATATTAATAGTTATAGTTTATTTACCAGTACTAATTACAGGTAAGAGATGTATTTACATTGTATTTTTTCTCATATAATACATCTATAAGACTAGTTTCATGTATAAGACAAGTTTTTATGTAGAGTGAAATAACATAACAATAATAGTAAATATTACACTTCAACCTGCACTAAACATGATCGCACTGTGATTTTAGACTTAACATAACTTTATGATTGATATTTGATTTTTACCTTCACAATATTTTAAAGATATATAGAATCTTTATATAAGAAGTGGACTTCTTTTTCGTGTTGTATGTTTTGTCAATTCAAGCAGATCTGTAAGTATTCTATATTGAGAGGTAGAATGATTGGTTCAAACTTAAATATTCATCATGATATCGAGTTTCTATTAAGCGAGGTTTGGTCCAAAACTTAGATTGACTGTTGGTTGATAAAATGGTTGAATTCAGAATTTACTGAGGGAATGATTTTATCTAAATTAATGTAAATAATCTTAGATTGAAATATTGTACCAACGACAGTTTTGTGTGCTGAAATCAAAATCGAATGGAATGAAAACTAGAAGTTGTTTGATTATCATATTGTTTATATTACAGGTCAATATACTATAAGAGGAGTTCCTGAAAGTTATGCAGTGTTAGGTGAAAATTATACATTACAATGTGATGTTACAGATTCACCCAGTAGTGTAGAGTTCCGTATAAACAATATTGTTGTATGTAATATATTATCTTCAACCTGTGAAAGTCAATCAACAGATAATAGATATAAATGTGGATGTATAAATAGTAACAACAAACAACTATATCTCAATATAAGTAATGTAAATAAACAAGATGATACAACATGGTCTTGTAGAGGTAGTTCTGGTAGACAAGGATCAATTAATGTATCAGTTTATTGTAAGTTTATTTTCATCTCAGTTTATTTTTCAGATTATCATTCACTAGTCAAACTGACACGATAATACACACTAAATTTTCATTTTCTGTGAAGGAAAAAAAAATGCCCTTTCTCATTTTATGGGCAGTGTTATTTGGTTAAATTCAATCGATAAAATAACAATAGAAAAATTAAATTGATCTTTACAGATGGTCCAGAGAATATAATATTAAACCCTACTAGTGATAATATAGATGTTATAGAAGGAAAGAGTCAGAGTGTCAACTGTTTAGCTGATTGTAAACCAGATTGTAACATCACTTGGTCTAAAGATGGTTCAACAACAATTCTAAATAACCCTTTATCACTTAGTGCTAGAGATCAAACTGGTTCTTATAACTGTACAGTTAGACATACCGTATTAATTAAACAACTTACAAAACACCTTAATGTTCAGATTTATTGTAAGTATATATTACTTTGTTAATAACTACTAGACAGCAAACTGGTTCCTATACCTGTACAGTTACACATACTGTATTAAATAAACAACTTACAAAACAACTTAAAAGTATATCATAATATAACATGTTTAACTGATTGTTATTATTTCAGATGGTCCTGATAAACTTACTTTCTCACCAGATGTAACAAGTATCAATATAATATAAGATAGAGATCAAACTATAACATGTTTAACTGATTGTTATTATTTCAGATGGTCCTGATGAACTTACTTTCCCATCAGATGTAACAAGTATCAATATAATATAAGATAGAGATCAAACTATAACATGTTTAACTGATTGTTATTATTTCAGATGGTCCTGATGAACTTACTTTCCCATCAGATGTAACAAGTATCAATATAATATAAGATAGAGATCAAACTATAACATGTTTAACTGATTGTTATTATTTCAGATGGTCCTGATGAACTTACTTTCTTACCAGATGTAACAAGTATCAATATAATAGAAGGTACAGATCAAACTATAACATGTTTAACTGATTGTTATTATTTCAGATGGTACTGATGAACTTACTTTCTTACCAGATGTAACAAGTACCAATATAATAGAAGGTAGAGATCAAACTATAACATGTTTAAATGATTGTTATTATTTCAGATGGTACTGATGAACTTACTTTCTTACCAGATGTAACAAGTATCAATATAACAGAAGGTAGAGATCAAACTATAACATGTTTAACTGATTGTTATTATTTCAGATGGTCCTGATAGACTTAATTTCTCACCAAATGTAACAAGTATCAATATAACAGAAGGTAGAGATCAAACTATAACATGATTAACTGATTGTTATTATTTCAGATGGTCCTGATGAACTTACTTTCCCATCAGATGTAACAAGTATCAATATAACAGAAGGTAGAGATCAAACTATAACATGTTTAACTGATTGTTATTATTTCAGATGGTCCTGATGAACTTACTGTCCCATCAGATGTAACAAGTATCAATATAATAGAAGGTAGAGATCAAACTATAACATGATTAACTGATTGTTATTATTTCAGATGGTCCTGGTGAACTTACTTTCTCACCAGATGTAACAAGTATCAATATAATAGAAGGTAGAGATCAAACTATAACATGTTTAACTGATTGTTATTATTTCAGATGGTCCTGATGAACTTACTTTCTCACCAAATGTAACAAGTATCAATATAACAGAAGGTAGAGATCAAACTATAACATGATTAACTGATTGTTATTATTTCAGATGGTCCTGATGAACTAACTTTCCCATCAGATGTAACAAGTATCAATATAATAGAAAGTAGAGATCAAACTATAACATATTTAACTGATTGTTCTTATTTCAGATGGTCCTGATGAACTTACTTTCCCATCAGATGTAACAAGTATCAATATAATAGAAAGTAGAGATCAAACTATAACATGTTTAACTGATTGTTATTATTTCAGATGGTCCTGATGAACTTACTTTCCCATCAGATGTAACAGGTATCAATATAATAGAAGGTAAAGATCAAACTATAACATGTTTAACTGATTGTTATAAATGTAATTATAAATGGACTGGACCAGTTTCATCATCAACTAAAGATCTTGTATTTACTCAAATAAAAAGAAATCAGGAAGGAAACTATAGATGTGAAGCTACCAATGTTAAAAATACCATCCCTAAAACAAGATCTAAATCTATACAAGTTAATGTACATTGTAAGTATAGATTTGTTAGCAATCAGATGTTTTGTCTACGAGTCAAACAATATATGGGTTATTGTGAAATCGATTTTGGTTTTCCATAAAAGTTAGTCAATGTAAGTAGTTTTGGATTTCCTATATATTTTCTATTTTCCGTCTTTCAGATCCACCTGATATAACCAGTATAACATCTGATGCTGTAAATAACGAAGCTGATGAGGGTTCTGATGTTATATTTAACTGTAATGATAATAGTAAACCAGTATCTACTATAACCTGGTCATCTTCTACTAGTACTGATACTAACACTGGTCAACAGTGGACATTAACTCAAGCTAAATGTCAGGATATAGGAATCTATACATGTACAGCTAATAATGGTATTGGTCAGTCAACTACTAAATCTTTACCATTATATATTAGATGTAAGTTTATATTTAGTCAGTATACTATAATCTATACATGTTCAGCTAATTAGTTAATTACTAAACTTAATTATCAAATATTAGAGGTAGGATATATTTAGTCTTTAATTTTACTTTGATAGTATAGATGATAAGTAATTATGTTTTAGGTTCACCAAGAATTAATGGCGATTTAAAAGATGAAGTAATGAATAAACTAGGGGAAGAAGTAACATTACTTATTGATGTTATAGCCTATCCTAAACCTAGTTTTAAATGGATACAAGAATCAACAGGACAAGAATTTACACCAGATACAACTCAACAAGTAGCTACCAATAATTATATTTCAAGTTTAACAGTCACAATACAACAATCATCATTTGATAACTACAGTGTAACTGTTAATAATGGTATAGGTGATGATAAAAGTTACACTATAAAGATTATTGATGGCGGTAAGTTACTTAAACGAATTTAGTCAGTGTTTTAGGTACATTTATCAGATTAATGTAAATTTTTTAAGTTGAATTTATTGAGTAAATTTATCAGTTGAATGTAATAGGTAAATTTATCAGTTGAAAATATTGGGTAAATATGTCAGGTGAATGTTTTGGATAATATATCAGCTGAATGTGTTGAGTAAATTTATCAGTTGAATGTATTGAGTAAACATGTCAGTTGAATGTGTTGGTATAAGGTAATATGTCAGTTGAATGTATTGGTATAAGGTAAATATGTCAATTGAATGTATTGATATAAGGTAAACATGTCAGTTGAATGTATTGGTATAAGGTAAACATGTCAGTTGAATGTATTGGTATAAGGTAAATATGTCAGTTGAATGTTCTTGGAAAATATATCAGTTGAATGTATTGCTGAATTAAATTTAAGTATAAGTCAAATTTGATGAATAAAATCAGCTATTTCCACAGATCCTGTAACAAAAGTGGATCCTCGTGAACAACCTGGATATCAGGAAGGTTTAGACACTGGTATTGGAATTGGTATTGGAATTGGTATTGGAATATCTGTTGTTATTGTATTTCTAGTTTTACTGACAATATTTATATATAGAAAATATTATCCAGGTATTGATCATAATTATTATAAATATATGGAGGATCTTTAGAAATTTTTTTAATTTTTTTGAGGAATATCTTATCATAACATTTAAGAGATAAAGTCAATTTCAGGTACCCTTGTCTCTTTTCAGAATTGTAATCTGACTTAACCTTCTCCTACGTTCTGTCAGAATTGTGACACTTGACAATCATTTACATTCTCGCGCGCAATTATTACCAATATCAGGGTTTAATTGGTGATACTACAAGGTTAATGGCAATACTTCCACGAAAGCGGCAAATGTTTAAACTTCTAATGAACGTTTTATTTAATTGTAAGTGAATTGGGTGTCGTATTTCAATTCTGATAAGTATTTGGGATAGTTGGAATTGAGTCTTGTCAGTGGGTATAACAAATTCTTATACTGCTGAATAACATAATATAATTTTATGTTATTGTATTTTGTAGCCAATAAGAAATTACCAGAAGAAAGGTGATTTATGTTTTCTTTCCTGACCTTGAACTTCTTTTCCATTGACATCTAAAGGGAAAATAAACATTTTAAATCATTTAGTTTTTCGTACAACTGCAGACTGGTTTGGTTGAGTACAGAAGTTTAAATCCTTATATCAAAATGTCGTTTTGCTCAAAACTGATAAAAACATATTTGCTAATTTTACATAATCTTACTTTTCAGTTATGCAACATTTTCCAATAGAATCCCGGAAGGTATATTATTACATATTATCATAAATTTATCACAATTTACATATTTAGTATGACTATCAATAGTATACCCATAACGGTCCATCGATGCCGCTTTACGGTGAAAACAGCCGAGAGTCGCAGAATTTCAAAGCCCAAAGATTGTAATTTTTATTCAAACTTATTAGATAGTATGCACGCTTTTCTTCCCTACAGATGGAACATATGAAGATTTAAATACTCGTGATAACAATCAACATAATTCTGGAGATGCAAAAGAATATGAAAATATGAGAAGAAATTAAATATAATAGATTGTAACATCTGTTCAGAAATCAACAATTCTTTGCACATTCCAAAATGCCGTTTGAAAGCAGTGAAAAGATCATTTAGATAAAGGACAAGTGCACTTTGGAATTCGTTATCCCAATCTCTTAAATTGTCTTCTGAATTATGCCGTTTTAAAGGTTGACAAAAGAAGAAACTGTTGCCTATTTCAAAAAAATCATTTTTTATTTTATTTTATTTTTTCATCATAAAATTCATGCTTGTATCACTTTTCTTATAACTCTTTTCACCATATTCATGATATTTCTCCTTGTATATATATATATATTAATTTTAGTTAGTGTAATAGAAAATGGATTTCTATCTTCTGCTGTTATCTCTCAAGGTCCATTTGATTTTTCATCTTAAGATAAATAACATTTTGTAAAAAACATCTAATTTTGTAAAATTATTTGCTCGCTCCTGTAATAATATTTTTTCACAATTTCACATAATAATGTTTCTATCTGTATATATGTTTTTGTATGCAAACCACTAGACCACCGAGACCTAGGGTTAGAGAGTGTTAACCCTAGGGTTTAGGTTTGGATCATTCATTCTTTAGCTGGGATGAGGATCGGATCGTTCTAATTTTATAAGAGTCTTGGATATACTTCTTGGATTAGTGTAGATCTCCAGTTATTGAATGTAAATAAATTATAGTTGATATCGACGAGTATTTCTTATCCTGCATCCTGCAAGTAGAGCCCAACATCAACAACAACTTGTCTACAGTTAGACTTGTTTACAGTCGAACAGTGTCTACAGTTAAACCCGTTTACAGACCTGTTTACAAAGTTAAACGCACACTTTGAGCCTTCTATCTATTGTTCAAGCTTTGATGTAGCTAGGCTACAAGCACCTAAGGGGCACCGGAGAAGCAAATGCGAAACCTATTTTAACCTAATATTTTAGTGATAAAACCTTTTGTCAAATTTACCAAACAATTTTAGTATTTTGGTAGGTGTCTTGAATTACCGACTGCACTTAGTTGGGTTATTCTGTAGTAAGATACCAAGAGATAGTATATAATATAATTTATAGAGGCACTGTTTGTCTAAAAAGTTTGTAACCGAGTTTTAGTGTTTCTCAAGAGAACCCTCTCTGACGTGATACCATCTTTATTGCTAAAATATTATTTAGGTCATGTTATCCAATAATATATAACATGTATAGGTGTCTTTATGTTTGAAAGAGGAAGTAAATTAGAACTTTGTAATAAAATACTATACACAAGTAGACCAAATATATGACAAGAGAAGAGCGTCTTGTTGAATATTATTCAATAACATCGAGTTTAAAAGTATATTAATATTAATAGTTGTAGTTTATTTACCAGTACTAATTACAGGTAAGAAATATATTTACATTGTATAATTTCTGATATAATGCATCTCTAAAACCAGTTTCATGTATAAGACAAGTCTTTATGTAGAATGAAATGACATAAAGATAATAGTAAATAGTAGACTAATGCACTAAATGCATATATAATAATTTAATGAGATAACATGAATTGTACTGTGAATCATACTTGACCTGACTTTATGATAGATATTTGACTTTCACCATCACAATATTTCTTAATTATAGAATTTTTATATTGATAGATGGAAAAATCAAAGTATAGGTATAGGTATAATAGTTGCTTTCTTTTTCGCTTTGTAGATCTTATATCCCAATTTAAAAAAAAATATATCCCGATTTTATATTGAAGGGTATAATGATTGCTTCATACTGAAATATTCATCAAAATATCACGTTTTTACTTACAAGAATGTAATGTTGGCTGGCTTACAGTATTTTATATCTGAGAGGTTCGGTCCACAATTTAGATTGACAGTTAGTTGATAAAATAATTGAATTCAGAATTAACTGGTGGAATGATTTTATCTAACCTACTGTACAGTTTCATATAGTCAACCAAAGATAATTTTGTGATTTCAAATTATTATTTTAATATAAAAGGTAACAATAACTAGACGTTGTTTAATTATCATATTGTTTATATTACAGGTCAATATACTATAAGAGGAGTTCCTGAAAGTTATGCAGTGTTAGGTGAAAATTATAGATTACAATGTGATGTTACAGATTCACCTAGTGTTGTAGATTTCCGTAGAAACAATGTTGCTGTATGTAATATGATAAACTGTGGGAGTAGTTCAGATAATAGATATAAATGTGGATGTATCAATAATAACAACAAAACACTATATCTCAATATAAGTAATATATATAAACAAGATGATACAACATGGTCTTGTAGAAGTAATAATGGTGGACAAGGATCAACTAATGTATCAGTTTATTGTAAGTTTAATATCAGCTCAGATTTATCTTGCAATTAGGAAAATAAACCCCCATCCCTTTCTCCTCTTCCCTGAAATCTTTTAAACATTTACATAGTCGGCGTTTTAAAGACTGGTTCGCAATTTTCTCCATTATTACTGATAAACTTAGCTAATGTGAACAATTCCCATTTCTGAGACTATGGTGGGAATGACCTCCGAAAATGGTTAATCGTGGCCTTTAACATATCTACTGAAAATTTGACTGAATTGTATCATTTTTAACATATGTAGCAACATTTATATAAACTATTTGAGTATAAATAAATGGCATGATATGTCCCTGAGGTTTTATGATAATTTTACAGATGGTCCAGAAAATACACAATTTAACCCTACTAGTGATAATATAAATGTTATAGAAGGAAAGAGTCAGAGTGTCAACTGTTTAGCTGATTGTAAACCAGATTGTAACATCACCTGGTCTAAAGATGGTTCAACAACAATTCTAAATAACCCTTTATCACTTAGTACTAGAGATCAAACTGGTTCTTATAACTGTACAGTTAGACATACTGTATTAAATAAACAACTTACAAAACAACTTAATGTTCAGATTTATTGTAAGTATATTATACTATATTAATAAATACTAGACAGCAAACTGGTTCTCTTACCTGTACAGTTACACATACTGTATTAAATAAACAACTTACAAAACAACTTAAGTATATCATATTATAACATGTTTAACTGATTGTTATTATTTCAGATGGTCCTGATAAACTTACTTTCTCACCAGATGTATCAGTTATCAATATAATAGAAGGTAGAGATCAAACTATAACATGTTTAACTGATTGTTATAAATGTAATTATAAATGGACTGGACCAATTTCATCATCAACTAAAGATCTTGTATTGACTGAAATAAAAAGAAATCAGGAAGGAAACTATAGATGTGAAGCTACCAATATTAAAAATACCAACTCTAAAACAAGGTCTAAATCTATACAAGTTAATGTACATTGTAAGTATATAATTTATTATATGACCCCGCCTCTCTATGTCAATAACGGGGTTATTGTGCCCGCCCGAAAAGCTCCTTTTAAATAAATGAAAAAGTTTTTATCGATATTTTTCAAACAGTACTGCTGAAGGACTAAGCTTGTGATGTTTCTCACTCCTTTTAGACATGCGTAATTTTTAATCACTGAAAAATCCTTGAAAAATCTTATGCAAACAGTCCAATCATCACAAAAATATATCGGCATCATCCTTGGCACGGCCCAAACCTACAAATTAGAATGAAAGAAATCTGTCAACAATAATTGAAGCCTATAAATGAGCATCAATTTTATACACAGACTTACGGAAAGTATGAGAACTCATTGTTTGCTGTATGGGCATATAAAATACTGATTGTGTTAAAGAGCATTAATGGCTTTACTTCTGTTTCAGATCCACCATATATAACCAGTATAACATCTAATGCTGTAAATAACGAAACTGGTGAAGGTTCTGATATCACATTTAACTGTAATGTTGATAGTAAACCAGTATCTACTATAACCTGGTCATCTTTTACTAGTACTGATACTTACACTGGTCAACAGTGGACATTAACTCAAACTAAATGTCAGGATACAGGAATCTATACATGTACAGCTAATAATGGTATTGGTCAATCAACTACTAAATTACCATTAAATATTAGATGTAAGTTTATATTTAGTCAGTATACTATAATCTATACATGTACAACTAATAATGGTATTGGTTTGTCAACTACTAAATCTTTAGCATTAAATATCAGCTTATATTAAGAAAGAAGAATATGTACATCCAATAACGGTATTGTTTGTATTTATAGTTCGCCAATCTACATATTATCAGTAGGATAACTGGACACAATTATATAGATAACAATTACTTTAATAAATAACTTGCGAATTTTCATCATTGCTTGAAAAAGACGAAAGCATCATCGTCGAAACGTTATTCATACCCCAGTTCCTAATTGCCACTCAAGAAAGTTATCAAAAGAATAATCGACCATGATGTAACAGAGGTGGTTTCCGTATTCCATGATGCACGACTTTAACAGTTGTAAGAGTGGACTAATTGTCCTACTCGAGTTATGCATGTGTTCTATGCCTGGCCTAAACTTTATTTTGCTATTAAAAGGCCATTTATTTAACTTGTTAAAATCCCTGAATGAGGTTTAGTTTTTATCGATAAGTAGTAACACTGTTTTACATTTACTATAAAAGGTCCACCAATACTTAAAGAAGAACTGAAGAAAGAAATAAGAGGAAAAATTGGAGAAATGGTATTATTAGAAATAAATATAGAAGCTTATCCTGAACCAAGTTTTACATGGAAACAATTGATATCTGATGTAGAATACCCCTTTGCTAAAACTAAGAAAGTTTCTGAAAATAATTTTATATCCACATTAGAATTGATATTAGACCAATCATCGTTTGGCTATTATATAATTACTGTACAAAATATTATTAATGGTGAAATTAACGCAAAAACCTGGGGAATAAAAATCATTGAACTCGGTAATTTATTTGTATAATTTGACAATGATTTCATGAATTTTTAAGGTTCTTCATCATAATCCAATTAGTGAATATCATATACTTATTAATATTTGATATAATTTTAATGAGTGTATTTAAATGAAATTAAATATATGTTAAAGGGGTAGTATGCAAAATTGTCATTATCTATAGAATACAATTAAATGTATTGAGTAAAATCATAAATTGAACGCATTTAGTTATTTTATCAGTCGAATGTATTGAGTAAATTTATAAATTGAACGTATTTAGTTAATTTATCAGTCGAATGTATTGAGTATATTTATCAGTTGAATGTATTGAGTATATTTATCAGTTGAATGTATTGAGTATATTTATCAGTCGAATGTATTGAGTATATTTATCAGTTGAATGTATTGAGTAAATTTATCAGTTGAATCTATTGAATAAATGTATCAGTTGAATGTAGTGAGGAAATTTTTTAGTTGAATGTTTTTGGTAAACTTAATATACCGGTAATTCAAATTCATTTAATTTATTCCACAGACCCTGGAACAAAACCGGTTTCTGTTGAACAATCTGGATATCAGGAAGGTTTAGAAAATGGTATTGGAATTGGTATTGGAATTGGAATATCTGCTGTTATTGTAATTCTTGTTTTACTGACAATATTTATATATAGAAAATATCATCCAGGTATTGGTTATACTTATCATAAATATTTGGGAAGAACCAAATGAAATTTTCTTTTGAAGATTATTCTATCATAACATTAAAGTCAATTTCAATCTGACTTAACCTACACTCTGCTAATATTTTGGCATTTGACAACCATTTACTGAAGAGTTTTCCGGATAGTTGAAATTGAGTCTTGTCAGCGGGTATAACAAATTCTAATTCTGCTTTCAATTTAAACTTTTATTTTGTAGCCAATAAGAGATTACCAGAAGAAAGGTGAGTTATATTTCCTTTTCTGACCTTGAAAATCTATCCCATTGAGCTACTAAGTAAACATTTTCGATCTGTGTGGCTATGCTGGTGTTGATGTTCTAGTCGACATTGAAGTAATTATATAGCAACGATCTTTTCACAAAAAGAATGTTCGCTGCTGATTGATTTAGTTAAATACAGAAGTTTAAATCCTTATCTAAATGTCGTTTTTAGAAGTTGTGATCAAAACTGATAAAAACATATTTGCTCATTTTACTTATGACATATTCTTACTTTCAGTTATGCAACGTTTTCCATTATAAATCCTGAAGGTAAATTTTCACATGAATTTATCGTAATTTACACATTCAGTGTGGCTATCAATACAATACCCAAGACGGTCCATAGTTCTGATAGTGCTCTTCAGCTTTACGACGGAAACAGCCGAGAGTCGCCGAAAGTACAGCCCAAATATTGTAATTTTTATTATAAATTATTAGTTATTATGCACGCTTTTTTTGCTTACAGAAAGAACATATGAAGATTTAAATACTCGTCCTGAAGTTAATGATAACAATCAACATAATTCTGGAGATGCAAAAGAATATGAAAATATGAGAAGAAATTAAATATAACAGGCTGCAACATCTGATACAGTACTAGTAATATCCAATACTAAAACATTAAATATAGCAGACTGTATTATCTGATACAGTACTAGTAATATCCAATACTAAAACATTAAATATAACAGACTGTAACATCTGATACAGTACTAGTAATATCCAATACTAACACATTAAATATAACAGACTGTAATATCCGATACAGTACTAGTAATATCCAATACTAGCACATTAAATATTACAGACTGTAACATCTGATACAGTGCTAGTAATATCCAATACCAACACTTTAAATATAACAGACTGTAACATCTGATACAATACTAGTAATATCCAATACCAACACTTTAAATATAACAGACTGAAAAATATCCGATACAGTACTAGTAATACCCAATACCAACACATTAAATATAACAGACTGTAACATCTGATACAATACTAGTAATATCCAATACCAACACTTTAAATATAACAGACTGAAAAATATCCGATACAGTACTAGTAATACCCAATACCAACACATTAAATATAACAGACTGTAACATCTGATACAATACTAGTAATATCCAATACCAACACTTTAAATATAATAGACTGAAAAATATCCGATACAGTACTAGTAATATCCAATAATACCACATTAAATATTACAGACTGTAATATCTGATACAGTACTAGTAATATCCAATACCAACACATTAAATATAACAGACTGTAACATCTGATACAGTACTAGTAATATCCAATACTAACACATTAAATATAACAGAGTGCAATATCCGATACAGTACTAGTAATATCCAA